AGAATTATAATATACAAAAAAAATGAAAAAAAAGGCAAAAAGAAAAAATAAAATAAAATAATAAAAATTAAAACAGCCTTCATTGAATAGTTGTATCAACATTAGCAATGCAACTAGATTTCACTTTAGTATTAACATCTCCTAAACTATAAAGTTTAATTTATAAAAATTATAAACTACTTTAACTTATTTTAATAATATTTTTTTATATCTTATTAAAATAAGTTATTTTTAATTTATTTTAATAATTTTTTATTAAATTTATAATATAAATTATTATTATAAAACAAATTTATTAAGTAAGTATTTAAATAAATAGTTCCTTGTGAAATTTTTCATACCTCACCATATCAAATAAAAAGTTGACTAAATTTTAAAAGACTATAAATTTATTATTTTAAAAGATAAAAATATATAATAAAAAGTATTAATTTCAGTCTCTAGAACTAAATTTAAACAAATTTTATTGAAAGAAGAAACTTATATCAACCAAATGTATTCTAACTAGAAATTTTGTTTAAATTTTTTTGACTTGTTTAAGAAAAAAAAATTGAGGTAGTAAATGAAAAAATACAAAATTTTAAGAGGTTTAAAACTTATATATTCAAGCAAACTTATATATAGTATAGTTTTATATTTTAAAGATAATAAGTTTCTTTTTTTATATAAAGAATTTTTATTTTCAAATATTCTATAATAATGTTAATGCTACTAATAAAAATCATAAAATGTTAATGCTGATAATTTATTTTTTAATTTGAAAGTATAATAAAAGATAAAAATTAAAAAAAATGTTAAATCTAATCTTTAAGATTGAATTTAAAGAACTAACTATAGTAAAAAAAGGAAAAACATTTATAACACTTTTAATGTTTTTTAAAATAAATTTTACTAATTTTTTTTTATCTTTGGTTGATTATTTAGTTAAAAAAAGAGTTTTATATTTCTTAATTTCTTAATTATTTTAATTAATGTCACAATCTCTTTTTGTAAAGGATCAATGACATCTTGAATTACTACTCCTAATTCAGATTGCATTTATGAGACAATACACATATAGTACAGATAATATAACTTTCGAAAATCATAAACTTTAACATCCAAATCAATAGAATAACAAAGCCCCGAGGGAAATTTCATATAATCCAAAAAAAATTACATATTTACAACAGTTACTCTGTGAAAAGCTCGAAATGCAAGTTTTTGAATAATAATTACATTACTTAAAAATTATAGCTAAACAGTCTAGACCTACCACTAAAATCTAGACTGACAAAGTAGCTAAAGCTACAATTTTCTCTCAAAATGTGTTGGCTTTGTTGTTCCTTAGTTAGACGCTTGAGAAGTAGCTGCGGTACCTATTACATTTGCTCACGTACCATAGCACAATCATCACAAAAAACACACATGACATAAACAAAATGCAAGGGTGAGCTTACGAAACAATTACCACAATTATAAAAGTAAATATGAATACAAATATCTATACAACTTGTTAAATTTTTAGTAGTTTTAGCATAGGATATAGCAATGCAGCTCATATAATGTATGATGCAATAGCTCAGTTCCAACTGGTTTTACAGACCTAGTATTCCAGAAGGAACCTACACTTTCTCGGTCTAGGAGCGACCCATCCCGATACCTGGATCCAAATATACAACACAGTACAGCTCAGCATGTTATTTATTCGATACATGTCTACCCTACCCAAATATGCAACTAGGCTTTTGAATGATGAATATCAGCGTAACAATACAGCTCAGTCACAATTATATATATATATTCAACAGCTCAAAAACATCTAGCAATATACATACATATACAATGACAGCTCAACACTTAGAACTTTTATCATAGCATCACACCAACACTCATTTATTCATTTCAACACACAAGGTTCACAGTATGTGTTCAATAGTTAAAGTCCTTATTAAATATTTCAATCTATATGTCTCAACACACAATCCAACTTTCACATAGGTACTTGGTGTTCTACCTTAGGGTTTCTCCTAACATCGACTCAATCTCAGCTAACTTGAAATTATGCATGTAAATATTACAACATCTAGGAAAAAAACAACGCTTGAGGGCTTAAATTCTCTCACTATTAAGAAATAGAAAATTTAGAGAAGAGGAACTCAAGAAATAAGAAGTAGGTTTGGGGAATGAGGACTTAAAGGCTTACCTAGATCCGCACTAAATAGAAGTTCCCAATTGGATTGAGAACGTGCAGGTTTGAAGGGTATTTAAGGGATTCAACATTGAAAAATTTCATTTCTCACCAAAATCACTTTTTCCTCTCTGATTCTCTTTATCCTCTCCCTCTCTCTTCCTAGAGAAAGCCTCATATCACTCAAAATCTCTCTTAAATCTGAGCTCCAATGTCTATTCTACTTGAATCCAAGTAAGTCTATAGAGCCCAACTCTTGAATCTTGTCTCTATTTCTCTATTTCCTCTCTTTATAATAGTATTTTACTTTGATATTAGGAAAAACTCTAGTCTTTGGATAGTGTTTATGGTCAAAACGTAGAGCTTATCTCTAGAGCTTACAAAGAACATAGCTTCAAGGATATATTTCAAGGTAAGGGGAGCTAACCTTAAAATTTAAGTTCTAACTGTATGTTCAACTTAAGAAAGTTAAAATATATATGTATTTTTATCTAAGTAAAGTTTTAAAGTAAGAACTATAAAGAAAACACATTTTTAGAAGTTCCACAACTTTATTAATGATGATTACGAATGAACAGTTTCAAGTTGTGAATTGGTGTTGAAAATAATAAGTTTGTCAGGAAAAGATTAAACCCCAGGTTAGACGATTTTTATTAAGACTGAGAGGGTGTGATCTCTAGTAAATTATTTATGAAATGTGCGACTGGTCTGAGTTTGGAGGTGTTCGACCTTTAGCACCTTGTATTGAGCTGTGTAGTGATATGTTTCCTGGTTTGACCAAGATATGCTTGAATGAAATTTGAATTGTCATGAAAAGTTGAGAATTATAATTGATTGATTTAGAATGTTATATGACAATGAATAAGAATTGTGTCAGATAAGTGGATGCAAATGATTTAACTATTTTCAATTGATAACATTTTATTTAATGTGTAAATTGAATTAAATCTGAATGTATATACGTTGGACATGAAACAATGAAATGAAATTAAAAAAGAAAGTGAATACAAATATGTTATTAGTGAAAGTTGATGAATAAAGGAATGATGATGAAAGGTGTGTTATGTGAAAGGTGCTGAGAAAGTGTAAGAAAAGAAGAAAAAAGAAGTAACTAAAATATGTGTCACAATGTGACACTGATTAATACGATTATAGTATATGTGTTGTAATACATCGACAAGTGATATTATAACACATATGTTGTAATACATTGATTAGTATAATTACAACACATGTATTGAAACAATATGATTGTGATATGCCACATTTGAGCTACTGCATGAATAGTTCAAAGATACACTAGAGATATAAAGTCCAGAGGTGATTTGGGATATTTGGGAGAAATGAGGGTGATGAATGCTAATAGCTTAAGTATACAATATTGACAGCGAAAACATTTGTAGGCCTCATGCTCATTTCTTAATTGATCTCCTGACTATACCTTTGCTATGAATGCCTAATAAAACATACATTGTATCCATGTATGGAGGCGGACGATGATTATCGATGTTGGTGTAAGTCCATCATAATTAGGAAGAGTATGTTGGCAATGATTTAGGGGCCATGAGTACCTAAAAGTACTATTATTTGATGAATATTTCAGAATTGAAATGATTAAGTGGCATGAGTTGAGAATTTGAATGATTGTGTTGATAAAAGGAGAAATTGGTTATGCTGAATAAAGAAAGAAGGGATTTTTGTTGACTGAGTGATAAATGATGTGTGCTGAATATTTTCATTCAAAAAATTGTAATACTTTAATAAACCTTATTGTAATAATAGTTCAAATTTTATGTGTAATATTTAGTAGTTAATTGTTTGAAATTTTAGTTTAATATTTAGTTTTAAATTTTAACCTTCATTCTATTTATAAGTCGAATTATGAAACACATTTTATTTTATCATGAATGAAATTTTATGTTGATGAAGTTTCTTTTAACAGTTTGCTAATTTTATTAGTCTGTTTTATACATTTATATAATGTTCCAACTAATCAATCTTTTACAAAATTCCATTACATTTTATTCAAAACAACACAAATAAAGAAAAACTATGAGAATTTTATTGAGGATGTTACATTACTAATTTTAATTTCCATATTAGTGTTCCAAAAATTTAAATTATATAAATATTAAGAAAAATTGACATTCAATTAGTTTTTATAAAACTTAATACCACAAAATTAGGCATTAAAAGTCTAATGTGTGGGTCAACTAGTAAGTTGTTCTAGTTTAAATGATGAACTTAAGTTTGAAACTCAGTGAATGCAATTATATTAAGGCACGTTGAGGACATAATCATATTAGTGGGCTATCTATAGATAACACATGGGTGGAAGAGCTAGTTGTGGTTAAGGCATACATAAGGGATCATTTTGCATCACTGTTTTTGGAGGAGGTCTGGCAGCACCCAAAGCTATTAGGATTGGACTTCTGTATGCTGTCTCAAGGTGATAATAAGGAATTAGTGAAGTCATTATCAGAGGAAGAGATTTGGGGTGCAGTTAAAAGCTGTGGTGGTAGTACAAGTCCAGGGCCAAACGAACTAAATATGAATTTTATCAAGTGCTATTGGGGGTTTTTGAAATCAGATTTTATAGCGGCTTTGTTGGAGTTCTGTGAGAAAGATGTTCTAGTGAATGGGGCAAATGCATCATTCTTGGTCCTGATCAACAAGGTACCCAACTTGATAAGTCTAGATGAATTTAGACCGATATCTCTTATTGGTGCGGTTTATAAGACTATAAAAAATTCTGGCTAATAGACTTAGTGGTATTGTACCGAAAGTAATTGGGCAATGGCAAACAACTTTCATAGGGGAGAGACAAATAATGGACAGGGTGGTAACGGCAAATGAGATTATCGATGATGCACGGAAAAGAAGGAGGAGATGTGCAATTTTCAAAGTTGATTTTCGTAAAGCCTACGACTCAGTTTGTTGGGAATATCTTCTTGGCAATATGGCAAGGATGAGCTTTTGTCAAAAGTGGTGTATATGGGTGGAGATGTGTTTAAAATCAGCCTTGGTATCTGTTTTAGTGAATGGTAGTCCAACTAAACAATTTCAAATGGAGAAGGGTATACGCCAGGAAGACCTGATGTCTCCATTTTTGTTTCTGATTGTAGCGGAAGGTTTAAGTTTGCTTATCGATAAAGTTGTCCAAGAGGGAGCTTATGTAGGATTCTCAGTTGGTGATGGTGGTATTTATGTACTGATGCTTCAATTTGCAGATGACACAATGTTTTTCTTTGAGGATTCGGAGGAAAACATTACCACATTAAAGTGTGTATTGAGGATGTTTGAATTGGCTTTGGGACTCCAAATCAATTTTGATAAAAAGTTAGCTAATGGGTGTTAACTTGTCAAATGAGAGATTGGGAGAAATTGCAGATTGTCTAAATTGTAAGGTGGGCAAGATTCCATTTAAGTATTTGGGGGTTCCAGTGGCGGCTTAAGCTCATCGCATTGCAACTTGGATGCCTATGTTACAGGATTTACAAAAGAAGTTGGGATAGTAGGAGCATAGAAACTTGTCTTTTGGAGGTAGACTGGTATTGATCAATGCTATATTGGCTAATATCCCTATATATCTTATGTCAGTATACAAGATTCCAATGAAGGTAATACGCATGGTGGAGAGGGTACAAAGAGATTTTCTTTGGGGTTCTTGTCCAATGAATAGGAAGGTGGTGTGGGTTGCATGGGAAAAAAGTGTGCCAAGCTAAAGAGGTAGGTGAACTTGGTATTAAGAATTTAGGTGCGATGAACAGGGCATTGTTAGGCAAATGGAGATGGCGGTTATTGAATGAAGAAGGGGAGTTGTGGTATAAGGTTCTTAAGGCCAAATACTATGTTGGTGGTAGTGAGGTGTGGAGAAAGGGTAGGCACGTGTCAGAGTGGTGGAGAGAAATTTGGAGGGTTGATGAAGGGGGGAGAAGTCATAATGGGTGGTTAGGCAAATTATTTCGTATAAGGACGGGTAATGGAGGTAAAACCACATTTTGGCATGATGTTTGGAGTGGAGACCAACCTTTGAAACAGGTGTATCTGAGACTATTTCGTTTATCCCTTCAGCAGGGTGATCTTATTAATACAATGGGGGCTTGCAATGAGATTGGATATTGGTCTTGGAATTGGTATTGGAGTCGTCCCATGATTGATAGGGAGGAAAGGATGAGATTGGAGATGGTGGAGAGTTTTTCTAACTTTTCTTTATTGCAGAATGTTAAGATAACTGGCGGTGGCATGGTGACACATCAGGGGAATATACAGTCTCGAAAGCGTACTCCTTGATGTCTTTGAATCCAGATAAGCAAAAGCACCCAATTCTGTCAACTATGTGGTGTCCTCCCTTGTCGAAAAATGTTTCTGTTTTTGCTTGGAGGACCATTTTGAACAGCTTACCATCGTGTAATAATTTACAGCAACGCGGTATTGTGCAGAATACCTAGCTTTGTGTTTTTTGTGAGAATCAGAGGAGGTATTGTCTCACTTGTTCCTACACTGTAGATTTTCTAATGTACTATTGAAGGAATGTATGTCTTGGTGGCGGTTATTGTTAATTATCCCAAGTGAACTAGAAAACTGGTGCTTGTCGGTTCAGGATTTATTTGCAAGATCGAATTGGAGTGTTGGTTGGTTGATTGTTTTTTATGCTTTATTATGGTCACTTTGGTATGAAAGAAATCAACGCATTTTCAACAATAAACAATCTGTATCTGCTGATTTGTTGCTTCATGTTAAGAGGGTGTCGTGAGAATGACTATATTCTAAAGAAAAAATAAAACAGGGATCAAGCTTTAGAGAATGGTGCGAGAATCCTTGTCACTGTTCATGATTTATTTCGAGTTCAAGGGCTAGTTATGGAAATTGCTGAATTCTTCCTGTTTTGATGCAGTGCTGCTGTGAGCTGTATTTATATTCACTGTTTGATCTGGTGCAGTGATCGAATGTCTAGGGGAGCAGTGGTTGGTAACAGCAGGGTGCATTTGTAGGTATGATTGGGCATTGCAATATTTGCTTATTGAGTTCGCATTCACGAGAATTTCATAATGATGTTGGTACTTGTAATATAATACATATTGCTCGGTACAAGTGTTACTAGCTTTCAACCACATGCTAGGCTAAGCCAGGAAAATCCTGTTTTGCTCCCTTTGACTTTCTTTCTTTTAATTTTGACTTCTTTATTCCGGTAGCTACACTTTATAATAATATTATGTTTATTTTGATATATTTCTTTTGGCACTTCCGGTACTAGTTTTAATAAAAATTCTATTGTTGCTGATAAAATAAATAAAAATAGATAAACCTCTTACAAGAAATACATTTAAAATGACACCTATTAACCTACAAACGACTAAAGTAATGATAAAATTAACTTTTGAAGACCAATTACTAAAATTAAGATCCGATTTAAGTAAACTTTTAAAAAAATTGTAAAAAGAAATCAGTTTAAAATTGAATAAGATTTCTCTTATAAATTAAAAAAATTTATATTTTTCTATCTTGAAGATCTATTTAATGATAAGTTAAACCACTTGCAAGAAATAAAATCTAAAATGTCACCCATTGACCTACAAACGACTAAAGCAGAGATAAAAATCATAGAAAAAATTTAATATAAAAATACAATTTTAGTAATAATTTATTATCTTAAATTTTAAAGAAGTTAAATGAAAGAATTTTTAAAAAGAATAGAGAAATATTTTTTTAATCTATGAAAGAAATTATATTCATTTTTTAAGATGATTTTTTTTTCTATAAAGACTTTTCTAGAAATTTACTTAATAATTAATATTTTTTAAAAACTTAATGACAAAACTTTTGAGAGACTAACACAATGACACATATAGCTTTAGGTAACCAAATTGAGGGATTTCTGTTAAAATGTTTTTCTATTAATTAAATTTTTAATTTTTTAAAAATGAAAAATTAAATACCAATATCATTATATTTAATTTATACTTTTTATTATCTAAATTAAAATTCTTTTAATTTTATATTTTACTTGTATTTATCAACATTTGTTAAAAAAAAAAAACTACGTGTGAAATGTAAGCTTGGATGGCATCTAGAATTTTTCCTCATTAATTCTCATAAAAATTATTTGCAATGGAAAAAGGATTTACACACACAACATACATAGGTATCAGCCTATAAAGAGGATTAAGGTATGTTACGTGGATTAATTTGGTTGTCGCTTTGATATAAAAGGATGAAAAATTTATTATCTATCGTAGAGACTTTTTTAAAATTCTACTTTATCCTATTAGCCTTTTTAATGGTTTACTTTGTATTAAGACTTTCAAATAAAAAAAATTATTTTATTGCTTTCAATTGAAAAAGACATTTTGCTAACCTAAAAATAAAATAAAAAAAGAAAAAAATAGTGAAAAAGATATATATATATATATATATAATATAATATAAATAAGTATACAAAAAGATGATGAATGATATGAATGAGCGATAAACGCAATCGAGACAATGCAAATGCAAATTAGTGTTATGGGTATAAGATAGATCAAATAACAATGATGCACAAGACTCCAACAAGTAGTGCTCTCTCTCTTAAAAGGTATGTAGTAAGGACATTCTTCAACTCTAATGAAAAAGATTAGGATTTCTAATATAAGATATTATTCATTTTAAAATTTAATTTATTTAATATAATATTATATAATAATTTTTATATAAAAGTATTTAATATATTATTATAAATTTAATATGTTTTAAATATGTCAAGTCGGGTTAGACTTTAAGAAGGTTAGGATAAGAAACTCTTATTAGGTACTTCAACCTATTTTTATCCTTAAAAACAAGAGGATAAATATTTCGGTATCCTACTCCTATTCATTACACTTTCTAAATACACGGAGGCAAAAGGATAAACATTATTAATGTGACTTCTTTTAGAATTATTAATATGCGATTAATCACCCATAAAATATTAACTAATCTAATTAAATATTTTAGATTATCAAATACATACAAATATTAAATTTTATATTTTATTATAATAAATACTTTTTCAATTAATTTTTTTAGGAAAAATTAAATTTTTAAAAATGATAATTTTTATTAGGAATGTAATATTTATTTTACCATTCTTTGCAGTAAAATTTATCATTTTTAAACATTTAAAACAAATGATAATAATTTTTTTAAAAGAATGTTAACTTCTACTTTAAGATTGAGTTTAACTAACTAATAATAATAAAATTTTATTAAAAAATATTTATGAAACTTTTATAATAAAAATGTATAAGTATTAAACGTTTAATCTCATAATTGAAGTTATAAAAATTGTGTGTTTATTATGGGTACATCAAGCAGCATAAACATTAAACAACCTTGATAACATCAAAAAATAAAGAAAAAGGTACGAGGTCGTGCAAATGATTGGACAATGAGAGGGTGGTGGCCCACAGTGAGAGTCCCTGCAGGTGTTGTGCCAATGCCATATTGATTTGCCAAGTCTCCTTTCTTCGGCCTCATCGAGAGACGGTTGCACTCCTACGACACTATCAATCAAACAACAATTTCATGACATAACAACTTCAACATCATCATCATCATTATCATCGTAAACTAAATTTAATCCTAACCTCTCTCTCTCTTCATTCTCCATTTCTCTCTTCTCTCCCATATTGTCTCGTCCCTCCCAACACCAATTACGTGCCCGCAATTCATCTGGGTATGTTGCATTCCGCTCATGATTATTCTTTTAATACAGGAATTTTATTATTATTGTTATCACTTAATTATGGTTGTGCTGGAATATCCCTCTGTAAATTCAATCCATGAAAAGTACATTGGTTGTTGCTTAATTCGCTTCCCCATTCGTGTATGTTTTATTCGGTCCTTTTAGTTGAAGTCACGTGTTTGCCTTTCCTAAGTCCTGATTTTTTAGAGTTCTATTATATGAACAACTTATATTTGATATCATGACATTGCGTATTATTTTTTGCATATATTCATTTAAACACCTAAAAAGTAAAAGAGACAACTAAAAGTTGTCCTCTAAAGTTGTTCAAAAACTATTTTTAATTTGTTTAGGGAGTACCATGTTTCATATTTTTGTTTGTGGGTACTCGATAAAAAGTGTTACTCATGCAAATTTGCTTGTCATCAAAGAATTACTCACAATGGAAACCGAACCTAATGGTAGCTGAGCCAGACCCACAGGCTTGGAATACTTGAGATATGACAAAAGGAGAATATTTGACACGAGGTTTTGTTTTCAAAAAAGTTAGTACAGGTTTAGTAGATTTAGATGAGTGCTTAATAATGCAAATTGCTACCTCATAAGCTTCATCCTGGTTTGTGAGGGTAAAAGTCATATATTGAAATTGATTGATTTACGAAACTGATAAGTTTTGCTAAACGATTTTGTTACCTATAAGAGTTTAGGATGGTGCTGTTATATGGTTATATATGTCAGAAGTGATATTTAAAACGGTTACTGTCTATAACATGTATTACACTTTCAGGGGTGATCATTTGGCCATTCATTTTCAGAGGAAAGACATCCTGCATACTCAATGAGCGCATACCTCAAAATATATTGAGTACTATGGGAATTCCCATTAGAAGGTGTGACTTGGATATTCTTTCATGGCATTATTTGCTCTCCCTAGGAAGAGAAATAGCAAAGAAATTTGCATTGAATCTGATATATCTTTTTTATTATTATTAATTTGGTCAGTAGTGGAAATATAAAAAGACATAATGAAGCAATGAGGCTCACTATAGCAACCTTTGCTGGAGTTATTTTTGGCTTTGTTATAGGAGTATCATTTCCAACACTATCATTAACTAAGGTGTATGATCTTTCATCATATCATTAAATTACACTTTCATAGCATGTCAAGTGACTAACACTCATGAATTTTGTCCCACGTTATATTAATTGTTAGATGAATCTTCCATCCAGCCTTTTCCCATCCATTGATCTCACATATGTTCAGGACAATTACTCAAAAGTTCCAACCAAGTCTATTTGGGATGCTTGGGCTTCATTTAGGGGTGAAAGAAGCACGTCCAATGAGTTTCACATATTAAATGAGACAAAGGTATGGTTCTCTACTCTTGTTAGATCGAACTTGTATCTAAATGTTTCACCAAATCTCATTCTTATTAATTTTCCATTTCCTCTTTTCTGGGGGAGATGGAGATGGGAGTGGACTGGCCAAGCAATATTATTATTGTTGTTATTCACAAATCGAATTCTTCCAAAAGATTGGCTTGATATAGACTTCTAGAAATTCACAAATCATTTTGTATCTTGTCTTTCATGGCCAAGACACAGGGTTGTGAACTAATGGTGATATGTTTACTTAGTTCAGAAATTAGCAAAAGTTGGATCCATTTCAGATTTGTTACTGAGTTTACCATGATATTATGGTTACTTTACAAAAAGGGATGCCTAAGAGTGTTACTGCCCGACAGATAGAATTTGAGAAAACACATTTGCTTGGTAATATGGTTTGTTTTGCTGGAAAAACATGTGTCCTCTGTTGGTTGAATTATTCAGTTAGAATGTAGATGATAACAATTTATCAGCACTTACTGCTTAAAATATGTTATTCAGTATCACTTACCATTTTGCAAATTAATTTAATTTATTACATACTCGAAACAAAGACTGATTCAGATGGATTTTTTCTTTTCATTGGATTTATAAATACTGAATGTATTGAGTTCCAAATAAGTAATTCTATAATATTTGATATCCTTTCTTTTTTCCCTTTTTAGTCTTTCTCTTGTTCATTTTTTTCCCTTTGTTCTCTCTTAACAATGTGTTCAACTGTATTCTTGAGAATTTGAGATATACACTATTTTGAGTTCTTAGTCTTTACAATCTTAGGGTCTGAATAGGTATATTTGATTATGATGCAGATTTGGGTTCCTTCAAATCCTCGAGGGGCAGAAAGGCTTCCCCCTGGAATTGTCGAATCTGAATCAGATTTCTATCTTCATCGGTTGTGGGGCCTGCCCCATCAGGTGTGCATATTCACTGAACCTTAATATAAAACATGCAGTTGAATGAAAAAATATTTTTCACCGTACAGAAATGTGTAGGTGTTTGCTATAGTGTCAAATTATTGAATCTATTATTGAGAAAGTGACTTTAGATTCGTTTTAGTGAGCTGACTGAACACAAAGCATAACAAAGAAACGAACATTTTTGTAGTGCTTAAGCATTAACTATTGAAACTTAATGTGGTTGCTTGCCAAGTAAGTTTGAAGTTCACAGTTGAGCAAGTTCCTTACTGAGAACAAACAAATGACAATTTGTTAAATAAGCATTCATATGGTATTGATGGACTCATACAATGATAAGCTGCATATGAATGCTCCTGATATTGACAACAGAAATTTCTCTGATTTTTATTATGACTCTGAGTTACAATTTTGTCTTCTCTAATCTGACTCTTTTCTCGATGGAGGTGGCACATACAGGACCTAAGTATTAAGCCTAAGTATCTTGTAACATTTACTGTTGGGTTGGAGCAGAAAGACAATATTGATGCTGCAATAAAAAAGGTCATTTCTGTTTCTACCCGGCATCAATCTATCTTTGATTGTCTTCAGTTACTGATTGCCATCTGCTCATTCAGCCAATTGCTTAATGCCTATTTGTTTTGCTCTGTATGTGACTCTTGGACTTGAGATTACAGTTCTCTGAAAACTTCACCGTTGTATTGTTTCACTATGATGGACGAGCCAGTGAATGGGATAAGTTTGAATGGTCAAAACGAGTGATTCATATCAGTGCCAAGAAGCAAACCAAATGGTTGGTAGTGGATCTTGCAGGGCTTCATTTTGGGTTCCATTTTATAAATTGTGACAAATATTTATCAGGCCTCTATTCATCTAGTTTTGACATCAAATTGTGTTTAAGGTGGTATGCTAAACGTTTCCTGCACCCTGACATTGTGGCTCCTTATGACTACATCTTCATTTGGGATGAGGATCTGGGTATGGAGCATTTTGATGCAGAAGAGTACGTATCTAAAATCACAACCATTCCTTGTAGAGTGGGAATCATGTAGGTGGAAGTTTTTCAATAAAAACTCTTTATTCCAGGTACTTAAAAATGGTAAGGAAGCATGGTTTGGAGATCTCACAGCCTGGAATAGACCCCAGTAGTAGTTTCACATGGCAGATGACAAGGAGAAGGGATAATGGTGAAGTCCATAAGTAAGTGAATAACTTTCTTATATGTTTTGATTTTGTGTATTATGTATGTTATTACTGTTTAATCATCATATTCATCGTCATCATCAACAACAACGACAAAGTCCACTCATGCTAAGTGGGAGTACTTACATGTATCAAACAATGTCTTTGTGCATGTGTGCTCAAAAATAAAAACTTTGGGTCTTCCGTATTGGTTTATTTTGGAAATTTCCTCACTCTACTATCTCTAGTTTGCAGGATATCCTTCATTAAACTATCGTTATTGCTTAATCATTTATTTAATTATTCCATCTTCTAGCTTAAATTATATTTGTCAATCTCTTGCAGGGAAACTGAGGAAAGAATTGGTTGGTGTCCTGATCCACATTTGCCACCCTGTGCTGGGTAAGCAAACGTTGACTTCTAAAGGATTCAGTGCATGCTTGATTCAATTTATTTTAAAGAAATAATCAGCTTATTTTTTTTCTGTCTTCATAAGAAAATTTTTGAAAGGACAAAACTTTAGGGCAGTCTTTAAGTACTTTTAGGACTGTCCTCTGATTAAAATTAGAGTTTTTCCTTAGTTATCCATGCAATAAAGATTGCCATTAAAGACTAACATTAGTTGTAAAGTGAAACTCAAATTTGATCCAAGAAAAATACCCGAAACATATAAGGAATTGTGCTTAAACTTTTGCCATTCAATAAAAAAATCCTTGTACAGCACATTTTCCAAACATCCACCTAGTGTGTCTTTGAAAAATCTTGATAATCATGTTAAACCATGTTGATTGTAAAACTATACCTTATAACATGAGAATGAATCCACACTTAAGTAAATTTAATGTCCATCCAAACATGCAATTAATTCTTAATGACATGCACTTTGCTTTCTCCACTGTCATGCGCGGGCTTCTAAAGGGATCATATATATCTGAAATAGTTTTGATATTTGAAATGCGCAGATTTGTTGAGATTATGGCTCCTGTATTTTCCAGAGATGCTTGGCGTTGTGTGTGGCACATGATACAGGTTTATGGCTTATTTTTTGTATTTTGTTGTTATTTTCAGCACAATGAATCCATAACTTACTTGTTTTTCATATGCTGCTTTACAGAACGACCTAGTTCATGGATGGGGTCTTGATTTCGCTCTCAGAAGATGTGTGGATGTTAGTAATTTATCTTTCTTTGATTAAATGTCCAATTTTGCAATGATTGTACCTAATAAAATCCATTGATTTGATTGGATGCAGCCTCCTCATGCGAAAATAGGAGTGGTTGATACTCAGTGGGTTGTCCACCAAAGTGTTCCTTCACTTGGGAATCAGGTAAATGAAACTTTATAAATATTTTTAATATAAGGCAAACGTTTTATCATATAAATATTCAAATTCAGTTTGGATAAATTTAAAGTTAAGGGTGTAAATATCAGCTGGTAGAAATAAACTTATAACTCTCTATATTATTTCAAAGGCTATTAAAATAACATGATTAAAAGTACTTGTGACATGGATTGTGTGGTTTTCTTTCAATAGGGGCAAGCAGAGAGTGGAAGGGCACCATGGGAAGGGGTAAGTATGAATTGCTTCATAGCACAACTGAATTATGGTTTAATAATAATGTGCTTAATTCACATCCATATCTATTATAAAAGCATTGATTTTAGAGTTTGCTTTTGCATCAGGTGAGAGAGAGGTGTAATAAAGAATGGACAATATTCCAAGAGCGTATGACTAATGCAGAGAAGGACCATTTTGAGGCAATGGGACTTATTTCCCTTTCCACCTTAGAGAAAATAATTTGACCAATAATACCTACATTCTTCCTTCAAGATTCCACATGTCCTTTCGATTTATTATATTTTTAGGTTTAGTACGTTCACAATATTTTTCCTTTTTTTATTTTTAATATTAGATTTTTACTTTTAGGCATTTTTAATTTTAGTTTTTATACATAAAAAAATTGAAGAGAGAAGATGTTTAATTCGTTTACTGCTCATAAATGAGTTGTAACCTTACATTTATATTTTCTCAACTTGTTCTGATTAACTCGTGGATTAAGCGTGTCTTAGAGTAAATGCTTGTAATTTTAATTTTATATTTATTTTATTTTATTCAATTACTGTTTCAATTAAATTTAAGGTATTTTTTTATTATAAAAGTAAATTTTGTTAAAATTAGGTCTGAGAATGTATTCTGATTTGAAACATGGGCTAAACAAATTATTAAATACATTACAAAATTCTTTTAATTGAGTGTTTAAAAAGTTGAACGCAAAACTAAATAAACAATAAATATAAATTAGACGGAATAACTCTTATCATATTTATTCTTAAAATAACGATGTTTATTTTTATAAAATACATTATAACAATTATTATATAGGTAACATTATTCATTCGTCAACAAGACTCTTCAAAAATAAAAAAAAATATAATCTAAAGCTATGCTGAAATCTTGTTTAGCATCATTTGTTTGGTCATTACGAAAAATGATAAAGGGTAAAGTGGAAAATAGGATATTTAATAACGTTAACATCTTTAGCTTGAGGAGCAAGGTTGCTGCTACATGGGCAATTACTCGGTTTTCGAAGTTCCACATCCGAACCACAGGCTCGGGTTCGCTTTGGTCAACCATAGGCCCATCCAAACCAGAGGCTCGTTCCTGGTTCCGTGGAAAATACTTTGTACAAAGCACAGGTTCGGAAACGGAGGCTATTCCATAGCAGTTCCAACATACCCCCACATTGGAATTTCCCGCTCACTCACACTGTCGCTTTCCCTTCGCCGACTGAACAAAAACCAAAATCGTAGTGCAAGTTGAATACGCTGAACTTGTGTCTCCCTCTCTCTTTCAATTGAATGCATCTTCTTTGCACTTCTTCGATACAATGGCTAGGTGAGCGTTGAATCAGAGCTTCGCGTACTGCAACCACTATTTTCGTTTCTTAAGTTGGAAAGCCACGTTTTGTTACTATAGCTTTTGTGTTTCAAAACCTTCTTCTTCTGTTTGTTTTTTTTTCTTGCTTCCAACTAGCCCCTTCAACTTCGTGTGACTCGAACATGGTTGAGTTTTGGGGAAAAAAAAGTTGTGTGGTACTGTAATATGGTTTGAGTTTTTTTTTTTTTTTTTTTCGGTTGATGATGGCTGATGATTGACATGGACATTTTATTAATTTATTTTCAATATTTGAAATGATAGTTTGTGGGTATTATGACACTCCCTTTTGGGGGTTTGTGTGTAAGAATGGGAATGAGAGAAACACTAAGTGAATGGTGTTGGGGAATTTTATTTGCATCAAAGAGCATTAGCGGTAGAGACTATTGAGATAAGGATAAAAGATACAATGGAGAAAACTAACTTGTGTTGAATCATTACGAAAACTAACTTGTGTTGAATCAGTACTTAAATTCATATTTCCATTTACAGTAGAAATCCACTTACAATGGGATCGCTATAGCTTCCAATGCCAAATGGCAATTTGTTGTAAGTTCATAAAATATTTGCTGCTTTAGTTGGACTACAAGGCTTTGGTATGGCTGGCATTCTTGCATTGTGGGAAGGGGACAGTTTGTAAGTGCTGGACAATGATTGGGGATATTTTTTAATTGGAAGTGCAGAACACACCCATCTGAGTTAGTGAATGGATCGTGTTTGTGTGGAGTGGTAATGAAGATTTACATGACGGAGTTTCAAAGTTACTTATTATGTCAATGAAAATATGTGGCTGGCCTGTAATTCAAGTGGTGATGAACAAGAATCATCAAACTTTGATGTAGATAAAAAGAAGTTACATTTTGAGCTGCGTTGTTATATATGTATAGGTTTTGCTCCCTGAATGATCTACTCTTACATCCTGTTGAATATTGTGTTTGCATATTTTGTTTGGTGTTAACACATGTAAAGGTGGATGTTTTCTTCCTGGTTATATTATAATATATAAATAAATATTGGTATTATTTTGGGCTGATTTGGTGGGGAAAAATTAATGATTTTGTTTAATTTCATTAAAGAACACTACATAACACTACTCATTTGCACCTTGCCCTTATGTCTCTATTTTCAGTTTAATGAGCAGTAGGATCTAATGTGGTTATCATAGAGCTTTTTGAGTATATTGTGTATTGTATCTCTAGTTTTGCATCTAGAATCATAGCAATGCACATTGTTCTGTTCCAAAATTCCCTTGTACTTTGTCACTTCTGCATGAAAATTATGTGGTTGACATTCTTAAATAACTGGGTTCTTTTTTTCTTTTAATCATGAAAAGAATCTGATTCACTTTTGTTAAATCATCTTAGAAATTTAAGTTTCATTTATCCTCCAGTGCACTAGTTCCATGAGTCTTTCTTTTGAATTGTTGATGCTTAATAGCTTATATACCTATAGCTGATATGGTTCTTCAACACCTTTCCTTTTTAAGCTTGGTTGAAGTCCTTCTATAACTATATGTAATTATGTATTAAAATTCTTCAGCTATGTTTGTTATGGACTGATGAATTTGGACTATATTTGATAAATTTTTTTTACAGGAGCTGGCTTATTGACATTGGAGGATTTGCAAAGAAAGTGAAAAACAATACTCTATCTTCAACTGATCAAATCAAGGATTGTGGGGCATATCGTGAATGTCCAAACTGTTATTATCATATTGACAACAGTGATGTATGTTAGAATTCAACATTATATTCATTCTATGTTCTATTGCTTATTCAAATTCATACCTACACTAAAATTACTGTAATGTGAGAAGCAAACTCAGCTCTCACAGTAGAACTCTTCTTTGTTAGTATTGAGTTTGTTTATTCTCCTGATCCTTTACCATACATTTTTTTTTCTAGTGGCATACAATTAATTCAAGTTTTAATGTGCTTGTGGAAAAATTTGCAAACTTTACCTTTAGACAAAGATTAAACTCTTAAATGTTTAGCTTGAGTTTGAATGATAGCAGATGTTTCATTAGAAATATTCCTTTTCCTGTAGATTTCTACTGAGTGGCCTGGCTTTCCTCTGGGTGTGAAGTTTGATCCTTCTGATGTAGAACTTTTAGAACATTTAGCGGCAAAGTGTGGCGTTGGGAACACACAGCAACACGTGTTTATCAATGAATTTATCACAACACTGGAAGGAGACCAAGGTATTTGCTACTTACATCCAGAAAATCTTCCAGGTGAGAATTCGCTGACCCTTTTCTTTTAGTGTAAGTTTATCACTAGTGCACAATGCTTTGTCTTTTTAAATCAATGTTTGAAAAAAGAAAATAGAAAACAATGTCATCCATTGTATTGTAAGTTTAAGTTCATCAAATCTCAATTACCCCCCTTTGATCCTGAATCTATTCAAGATTCAAATATGTTAATTTATAGATGAATTGTCTAAAGTGGTTCGATTACGTGCAAAGAAGACTTTTAGAAGTGCTAGTAAGGAGAGTGGATTGCATACTCTTAGTCTAGTAAAGGGGAGTCAAGGGAGACTCAAAAGAACTTTAGACAAGTTATTAATAGAGACCTTTTGATTAAATAGAATTCTGAAAATTTGGTTTTTTACCGAGTCCAATGGCATTGTCCGATCCATGCCAACCTCACCTAGTGAGATAAGACTTAGTTGTTGTATATCTATGTTTAATGCATCACTGATTGGGGTTGAGGGGAGGAAGGATTCTATGATTGCCCAAAAAATTTAATGGTTGCTAATTGTTATTTTATAACTAACTCTACATGTACTGGCTATTGAATTTGTTTATGGACAGATTGGCTCTTTTGCTGAAACTGTGTAACCAAATTATGACTTTTATTTTTCAGGTGCTAAGAAAGATGGGAGTTATGTTCACTTCTTCCACAGAACGATCAATGCGTATGCTACTGGTCAACGGAAGCGTCAAAAGATTGATCATCATGGTTTGACTGAAGAGCATGTGCGCTGGCAAAAGACTGGCAAGACCAAAGCTGTAATAGAAGATGGAGTACAGAAGGGCTTTAAGAAGATCATGGTTCTTTATACAAGAGCTAAGCATGGGTCCAAGCGCTGTAAATCTAACTGGGTAAGGCATCAATACCATCTAGGAACCAAAGAAGATGAGAAGGAAGGAGAATATGTGGTTTCAAAAATTTTTTATCAACAGCAAAAGCAGACTGAGAAAAGTGAAGAGAATCCAATGGCTGAAGATCCTGACAATATAACATTGCGAACAAGCCCAAAGACTCCTAAATCAAATCCCCCCAGTCTGCATCATGCAGGAAAATGTGTTGATTGTGATGATATTGTTAATGATACTGTGCCTTTGTCTTTTGTCCAGGTGGGTAGTTACATGTGTGATACATATGGTTGAATATGATTGTTAATATCACTTTATCTTGTAGAAAAATTAAATGGGAAAGAGAAATCAAATCTAATATTCTACCTCAGAAACAAGCCAGCTTGAGAAAACAGTTTTATCTGTCTTGATTTTTCTCTTAAATTTATTCAAGTGCTAATGAGTAATGAGTAATGAGTGTACTATAGAAGTAATATAGTAGTTTAGTTTTACTATTTATATTGTACCCTCTACCTTCTTTGGCTCATCTCTACAATTCACTTTTTGTGAACTAGGATACCAAGACTATCCCTGGAGAATCACATGCCCCATTGTCTAATATTCAAGACCAAGACAACACAGGCAACGCTGCATGGTTGGCTGGTGAATCACAGGCAGTGGAAAGCTCTGAATATGCTGATTTGGATGACATATTATTGTGCAAGGAGATATTAGATTCGTCTGCTCTATTCAATGATTTTGGAACGGACTCCACCAATGTTGATGACTTTGCTTATTATGATAATAAAATGGCCAGAAATGATAATGTATCATGTGGAGTTTCTGTTCTGGATACACTTGAATTGGATACTCCTCCAGATTTTGATCTTTCTGTAAGTATCTGATCACCCTTATCGACTCTACTTTTTATTTAGCATTGTCGAATTCAATAACATCCTCTGATTCTCAATGTTTGCAGAATTTGGATTTTTGTTCTCAAGACAGTATCCTTGGGTGGATGGACATGTTATGATGTGGTTTATGAATGAAGTTCTTTTTCTACCAATGCTAATCCGGAAGTGTTCCATTCAATTGTTTGGGCAGTGCACTACCCTTTATCTCTCTTTCATTCTTCAATTGCAATGGTTTGGTTCTGGATGCTACAAATATAATGTATGAAGCTTAGGTTGTCATCTGGTGATGCTTCATGCTTATAGGCGAAAATTATACTCCCGGTTTTGGCTTTTGTACCCATGTAACTTTTTTGTCATATCATGGAGTAAAGCCATCTAAGTCTAGCTAGAGCTGGATTTCGGGCTTTCTTCATGTGGGGAGGAGGGGGAGTATCTGTGTGAAATTGATTTTTGGGCTTCTATGGCCAATATATATAAACTTTTACTCATCTTGTCAAAGAAATGGAGGTGGCGAATACATCTTTGGCGGTAATATCCAAAATGTATTAGATTCTAAACTTCATATACTTAGATATGTGAGTGGTGGAATGTGAATATTATGAACATATTGTTTAATTAACTTCAGAATGTATGGCACTACTTTCTTTTTCCATAGTTTGGTGAGAATCTTGGGACTTAGAAGTTCAAGGACATGTGGAAAGCTATGAAAATAGGGCCTAGGATTCACTGATTAGGTTGTCAATTTTTCTTTTTTTTTCACTAACTTGTTGAACGAACTTTTGAAAAATTCAGTTATTTCTCATAAGCACTATTCAACGCATTTTAATGTATATAGAGAAATCATTAGTTGCATGTGAATTAAAAAATGTCTACCCTAAAAGATTATTCTAACATTGCAAGTAATTATGAATCCAAACTGACCTACGAACTCGATCAATTCAACTTGATCTTAACTTCAAAGTTGGCTCCCGTATTTAGGTTAAATCAGAACGTAATATGTGTATCTGATTCTTATTGGGTTGGATATTTGATCATGTACTTTTAAATTTGATAAATTTAAATTAATTTAACCTAGCTTACTTTTGTTTTTCGCCTTTTTTTTTTCCCAATTATTTCTGTTTCAATAATGTTTTTATAAAATTTATACGTGTATAATAAAAAATTATCTTTATCTTTTAACATTAATTTAAAATTTTATAAATATTTTTAAGAAACTAAAACTATAAATATATATATTAACTTGGTGATTGAGTTAGTAGGAAAAAAAATGTTTGACGAATATGGCTTAATTGAACTCGATTAAATGGGTTTGAATTTTAATTTTTACTAATGAGATCTAACTAGGCCCAAAACCAACCCTAGCAAGGTGAGCCTCCTGAAAAACGTGGAAGCGAGTTCATTCATAGATGGTATAAACATAGAACAAAGTAGCTGCTTTACCAATTAATATATTGGGATGAAGATTCGTTTCAAGAGTTTAGGAATGGCGGAGAGAGTGAAGAAGAAGGAAACGAGTTTGTAGGGGCAGAGAGAAGCGACGGTGGAAACTAATCCGTTCCTTCCTTTGCAATTAGTCAGAATAGTTAAAATTAAAATTTAAACAATTATCATTTTCATGCTTGTAAAATTAGCACAGATAAATTATTTTTTTATTTATTTAAAATGTGATAAATTGTATAATAGACATAGAAATGATAACGGGTAAAATAATTAATGGGTACTGATGAATTCACTTTTTGTTAATATTTTTAATTATCTTTTTAATAGATTTTTAAAGAAAAAATAGAGTTAGAAGATATAAATACCATAAAATTTTCAATTATGTTATTAATTCCAACTTTCTTAATTTAGTTCAATTTACATGAGTTTTTATTATTATTTTTTATAATTTTGTTAAATAGAGTAATTGTGTAAGAATTTTTGGATAATAATCCATGAGATTTGAGTTCTTAAGAGAAAATTGGGGGGAAATAATCACTTCTAGCACCGAAAATGGCACTCCAGAGTCATTCAAGAGAGGCGAGGCTGCACGTAATCACTTTCACTACTCATAATGATTACGCGCAAGCTTATTTGGCTAATGAAGCTGTGCATGATTACTGCCAATAGCCAAAGTAATTACATGCCCTCTGCGTAATCACTCTCAATATTGAAAGTGATCACTCCAGAGAGGAAGTAGTGCAATGGACCTGCGTGTAATCACTTTCACCATTCATAGTGATTATGTTAGATAACTTTACTATAAATAGATTTTCACTTATAGGATAGGGATCCTTTTTTTTTCTTCCATTTTTATACTTTTCATTTTTACATACTTTTAGAGGATTAGGTTAGAGCTCTGGGTGGCTGTCAAGAGCTTATTTTTAGGGTTCTTATTTCTTCTCTCATCTTTTTAATTTGATTTTCTGGTTTTGCTAAACATCTATTACTTGCAATGTTGAATACCATCTATACGGAAGGCTAATTTTTGGGTATTAATTGCTAATAAGTTCATAATGTTTCTTTAAATCTTGGTTTAATTGCTAATACAAATTTCATTTCCCTAATTTCTTGAGAATTGAATTAGAAATTGAATGAGGATTGTTGCTTAATCAATCTAAGTTCTTTTCCTAATGAGGGTTTCAGAGTTTAGTTTGCTTAATTCTAGGCTGGGTTCTAAGTTTGCTTAATTCTAAGGACCAGAAATTGGAGCTCATGCAAGTTGCTTAATCTTGCATGAGAAATTAGGACTAATTGACGCTTGTTCCAATTAACTAAATTTCTGTGAAGGAATTAATAACTAATTCTTAATTGATTAATGATTGAACTAGTATGATTGATTTACCTAAATTCAAATTTCCAATTGAATGCTTGATAACTTTAAACCAACAAAACCCCCTATTTTCTTTTGTTTTTTTGAACTTGATGCACATTTCATGTTTGATGTTTAGTCTCTCAACCAATGTTCACAAGAGGACAACCTAGGTTAGCTTAGCCTGGTACACATTTAATGTAATCATACTTTGATAGAGGCAATGACAAACCTTTTCCTTAGGTACCTACAACAAATAGGGTATTATTCCTTATATTGGTACGGGTGTGGATATAGGAAAATACCCGTAAATTTTAACTGGAATGGGTGTAGTATGAATACCTAAGTATTCACCTACCCCATACTCATATATATAGGGAATGGTCTTTTCACACTAATGTAAGTTTAAAAACTTTTATACTTAATTTAAGTCTTTCATTTAATTTACATCCAATGGTTAATAAAGTAATAAATTTTAATCCATTAAATGTAAGTTAAATAAAAGACTTAGATTGAGTGTAAGAGTTTTTAGACTTATACTAATGTGAGAAGATTATATATATATATATATATATATATATTATATGCTTGAACTTTGTTTTATAATTATGTAATGATTTTTTGTATTATTATATTACTTATGTAAAGTTATATAAACATATTTATTTCTATAAGTGATTGTATATGACAATGATTTATTTTTTGTACGATGTATAACATTCATGATTCATTAATTTTTTATTGTTTACACACTTTTGTTATGCATTTTTTTATTTAGTATGAACAAATGTTAACCATCAAGTCATCTTCAACAAAGTTATGTTTTATTTTTTTATTTTTATTTTTTTGCATAATGTGTTTAGAATATGAAAATTATTATGTTTATACAACACTACTAAAATACTCTATTAACACTATATACTTTCATATTTTTTTATATTTTTGGTATAATTTTTTTAATAATAGACCTTACTTACGTGAATATTGGCGAATGGATACTAGTATCTCATTTTAAAATATAATACTAACATGTATTGCTAAGAAGGAGAATATCCTTGTAAAGTACATCTAAGTAATTAGATATATTATTCTATATTCTCCTTTCAAATATTAATTTTCATTTTAATTTATATATGTTATTTTGTAATAAATAATTAACTCTTTCTCTAGTTTACACGGCAAAGAATCATGGAATTGAGCAACTAGGAATTTAGAAAAATAAGAACCAAACCCACTTTTAATTTTTTTAAAAAGTTTTTATGGATGTTTTTGTGAACTTTTGGTCAAAATAAAGATTTCACTGACTATTTTATGTAATTTCATGTCTTATATTTAGAATATGTCTTATAGGCTAATACAATTTAATTATTACACAGTTGATATGAAATTAATTTTTTTTAAAAAATTATTTATATATGACACAAATGAAATAATTTTCACACAAATAATAAATACATGGTAAATCATAAACATACGATAAATATTTTATAAATTTTACAATCACCTATTATTTATTTATTGATAATATTTAAATTTTATTTTTATATTTCAATTTAAAAGAATATTTTTCTATGCAATGTATGCGTGACAAGTATAACTATAATATATTGAATCAAAATAATATTATTTTTATCATTTATTTACATTCAAAGAAGTTTTTTAAAAGATATAAAATATAAAAATATTTTTTTATTTTTGTTTATTTTATTGAATTTATTATATAATTTTATTACAATTTAACTGTTAAATAATTTTTTCTCTGGATAAAGGAGTATAATTTGTTTGATATAAATGTATATTTTTTTCATTACAAGATTTTACTATGACCATTTATCTTTTATTCAAATTAATTTTTTTATTTATATACATAATAAATATTTAATTCATTAAAAATAATTTTCAAATAAATTTTTATTGTTTACAAAATGCTTTCATGCAATATATGGGTGAAAAATACTAGTACATATATGTGATGAGTCCACTTCTCTCGTTTAATTTTTGAACTTATCTGCCCTAACCCTACTCTCATTTTCAATGTTCGCGTCATTCAAATCTATTGAACCAATCATGAATCGCCAAAGCTAGTTGCCAAAGTTACCACAAGAGGTCACCCACTGTGCAAATCCCACACGAGAGGTCACTTATTGTGTAGATTCATCTCATTATCACCCAGTTTAGTGTTGTCGTCGTTCAATTAGATACCACGCGAGACAGGGTAATTACCAACAAATAACCTATGTGTTTAATTCTACTTATGGTTTCTAAGTACTTTAGTTTAGAAAGCTATTGTATTAAGATACACTTAACACTTCTGATCTTTAAATATTT